GCGGAGTGGGCGCGACGCTGGTGTGCCCACAGGTGCCAACATCCGCAGCCTCCGTGTGCTGAACTGCCAGGGGAAGGGCACCGTCAGTGGGACCCTCATGGGTGAGTGACTCCATGCCCTGGAGAGGAGCGGGATCCCTTCTGGAGCCCCCTACCTCCTCCCCCTCTTGCTATAGTGTCTTGTCCCTCCCAGCCCTGGAGTTCATCAAAGGAGCGCTGGAGGCTCAGCCCTACGCTCTGCCGGTGGTGGTGCTGCCCTTTGCCGGCGCCCACAGCCATGCGCTGAACACTGGCTGCCGGCGGATGGCTCAGGTGGGGGTGGTAAAAAAAAAAGGACGATGCCTGCCTCTACTCACCTGCATCCGAGCCAGAGGTATGGGGATCATCTGAGGCTTTGGGATGTGCAGGGACATGGCACCACCTCGTCCCCTCCAGTGCCGAGCTAGCTCAGTGGGTTGGGGCTGTGCATGACATCCCACCCATGCCTCCCCTCTGCCACTGTCCTGGCAGGTCATCACAGTTGGTGCCACCAACAGCGAGGACCAACCTGCTTCTATTGGCACCCTGGGCACCAATTTTGGCCGCTGTGTGGACCTTTTTGCCCCAGGGGATGACATCATTGGTGCCTCCAGTGACTGCAGCACATGCTTCACGGCGCAGAGTGGGACATCGCAAGCAGCCGCTCACGTGGCAGGCGAGCTGTGCTCCAGGGGGGCAGGCAGGGCTGGCCCTCTGCTTGCTGGTGTTGGGCACAGGTCATGATCTGGGAACATTTTTGTGTGCCATGTTGCCATGATTTTGGCATGTCTGTCTCATTTGGGTGCTGCAAGCTGCACAGAGCTCCCGCATCCCATGAGTGTGGGTGATAGGCTGGGGGGATGCCTTTTCCTGTCTCTCTGGGGTTGTGTTGCTTGGAAGAGTTTCATGTAGGTGTTTGCACATCCCCTGGTTCTCACTGCAGCCCCCTGGGCTCTTGCAGGCATTGCTGCCATGCTGCTCAGTGCTGAGCCCCAGCTGAGCCTCGCTGAGCTCCGGCAGCGCCTCCTGCACTTCTCTGCCAAGAACATCATGGACATGATGTGGTTCCCAGAGGAGCAGCGGCTCCAGACGCCCAACAGAGTGGCCAGACTGCCCACCTGGCTGGGCACAGGTAAGGACCTCATTGCCTGCAAGGTGTCCAGCAGAGCTCTGCTCTTACTGGGAAAGAAGTGCTGGGGTGAAAGCACAGCATGTCAGCAGGGCTTGTTGCACCCTGAGCTGTGCTGGTGATGGCTGAGCCTGAGCACAGCTGTTTGCATGCAGAAGGTGAGGGGAGATGGAGCCTGGTCCATGTCATGGGCACTGGGTGACAACTGTGGGTGTCACAGTGGGTGTCACAGTGTGTGTCTACCTTGCTGCTGATGCCACTGGCCCCGTTGCAGACAAGCAGCTGTACTGCCGCTCGGTGTGGTCACCGCGCTCGGGGCTCACCCTTCACGCCACAGCTGTGGTTCACTGTGCCAGCACCGAGGAGATGCTCAGTTGCTCCAGCTTCTCCCACAGTGGCAGGTGGCTGGGGGAGCACATGGAGGTGAGCAGAGCATGTAGAGACAGAAGCACCCAGAGTGGCTGCTTGCTTCAAGGGGTGTCCCCAGATCCCTGAGCACTCTGGTGATGCTGTGCTGCCCTGGCTGCAGGACAAGGATGGGCAGAAGCAGTGTGTGGCCCACAATGCTTTCCAGGGCCAGAGAGTCTACGCCATCGCCAGGTGCTGCACATGGCCCAGGGCCAAGTGCTGGATCAACACCAATTCCCTGGCAGCTGAAGGGGCTGGCTGCTCCCCACGGGACCATGTGCTGACCGGTAATGCCTGACACGGCAGGTTATGGGCCCTTGAGCCAACTGCATGGTGGCCAAGGGTGTTTCTTCCAGCAAAATTGTGGAATCTGGGGGCAAAAGGGTGGGTATGAGTGCTGGGGTGACAGGGAAGGGAGATGGGCTGTACACATGGAGGTGGGAAGGCTTAGGGCTCATTCACAGCATCCCTTGGCACTTGTGTGTGCACTGGAATGGTGCCATGGTTTGCCCCATGCTGACAGTCCCTCTCCCCGTGGCAGGGTGCAGTTTCTACTCCCCCACTGTGGCACCGGGTGATGGTGGCAGACCCGTTGCAGGGCTGGGGAGCTGGCCTAGCCACTGTGTTGGCAGGATGGAGGTGATGGCACATGCCTTGTGCTGCCCCACCGCCAGCCTCGAGTGCCACGTCAGGGAGCACACATCCCTGGGCTCTAAGGAGAAGGTAGGGATGGGACACTCCACTGTGGTGTTGTCCTTGCCTCCGCTTGCCCCTCTGACACCCTGGTGGGGGGTTAGGTTGGCTTCAGCATCTTATTGAGGCCACCCCATCCAGTCCCATGGACCATTGGGGACTGGAGGCCTCTACCCTTTTGCTGACTCTCTACTCCCTGTTAGGTGACGGTGTCCTGTGGTGATGGCTGGACGCTGACGGGCTGTAATGGTCATTCCCAGAGCTCTGGCACCATGGGAGCCTATGCCACGGACAATACCTGTGTGGCATGGCAGCAGCAGCAGCACAGCTGTGGCCATTGCCATCTGCTGCCGGAGCCCACAGTAGGGATGGGCTGAGCTGGGGCTGAGGCTGCCATGGCCTGGTGAACCCAGCACAGCAGGGATAGATGCCATGCTGGACCACCCTGTCCACAGCTTGAGTCCGACCTGCTGCTCCCAGCAAGTTCCATGCTCCAACATGTGACTGCTGATGACCTCCACACTTGGGCTGCTGTGATGGTGGGGTACAAACTTGTCAGCCCCTTGCACACACAATGGGGCCTTAGACCAAGTATCCAGGGCAGCACTGCAAGAGCTTTCCATGCTGCTCCCGCACAGCTGGAGACCTGCCCCATCCCTGGAGTCATCCCAGCATCCTTTTCCTGCCACACACCAGGTCTTTCTATAAATATCCCAACTGTACCAGCTGCCTCGAGGTAGTTTGTTCATGTTGTCACCCAGTGTATGACAAACCCACCACCTTTTATAAAGCAAATATTGTGGTGAGGATTGCTCCTTTCTTGCCTGGTTAGTTGCTTGTTAGATGTCAGTTAATGCTGCTTAGCGCCTGAAAAATCCAAATTTAGCCATTTTGGGGCAGTTTTATAATTGCCTACTCATATTCCTAGGAGACTTCTTTACTTTTGAGTCAAGTGTAAGGGCTGTAGTATAAAGTCTGCTTGTTTAATTAGATTTTAATCTGCATTGCTGCAGTCAGCTACTGCTTTGTTGGTGCTTTTTTTTGTTAAGTCAAAGTTAATGATCTGCCAGTGGTGTGTTAACAGTTTCCCTTTTAGGTCTTCCCAAGACACTTAGAACTGGCTTTAATTCCTTTTTAAAAAAAAAAAAAAAAAAAGAAGAAAAAGCTTTCATAATATCTTGGTTCTTACATTTGTACCTTAAATATTTATTTGAAATTTTATAAATAAACATTTTATAAATGTCTTTTGAAAATAAAACTCATAGATCAGTGCTCATATGATCCACTGTCTGACTTCATGGACATTCCCATGGGGAAATGACCTGGAAGGGGGAGATGACACCCATCCAGCAGGGATGCTGCTCCCCAAAACGAGCTCTGCCTCGTTAGTGAGCCAGCCACAGGCCTCCACACCTTGGATCCCATCCCTGCCTGGGGTCCAAGGTGCCCCTGGATGACCACTGGCAGCCTCAGAGGTTAGCCCTGTCACCCTCCCCTTGCCTACAGCAGACCTGAGCTCTGGGACTGGCACCGGGACCAGGGGCTGAGTCGTGTTGTCCCCCACACACAGAAGAACAGAAGTTTGTTTTAATAACAATGGCATAGGGCAAGAACTTCCAGTTATGGAAACAAACATCCTCTGGCTTTGGGGAATAGACCCTTATACTTGTATTGCTGTTAGCAACATCAGGCTTCCCTGGGGAAGTGGTGAGGCCTCAGAGAGAAGACAAAGCTTAACTCAGAGAGATGCACAGAGCAGAGCAAGGCTGAGAAGCACCAGAAGCCACTAAAGCTGGGTCTCACTTTTCTTTCAGTGTTTAGCAGACTCCTGGTGCTACAATATATAATTTGCATGGTGTTATCTGAGGACAGATGAAAAAAATACAGCTTGTTACCACAAGGCATCAGGTTAACCTGTCAGACTTCAGCTGGGTTGGGTGTTCTTCCCCATCCAAAAGCCCCTTGCAGATCTGTTACCAAAGCCTTAATTGGCAAGAGAAGACAGAGACCCAGCACAAAGCACCACTTCGAAAGGTTGAAACTAATTCTAACTTGTTAACTAAAGCTGGCAAAAGCCCAACCCTAATCTAAACAGGTAATTACATAACATGGGCATAATTACAGCCCATAATTTGCACAAAGAGGCAGAGAAGAAAAAGGGATGTCAGCCTGAGAGCTCCTGGGCAGCTTTGACACAGATGGTGATTTTTCAGCAGACTCCTTAGGCTGTATCCTCTCAAAATACGTGTCAGGTATTTCAGCTCTGCTGAGTTCCCTGCGAGAGGGGAGGATCCCTGCCTGCTCCCAACAGAGGGTGTGAGCACATTCCATGCCTGATAAGCCATATAGAGCTTTCCTGGCTTAGTTCAAAGCATGCATAATCCAGGTGGAAGGAAACAATATTAAAAGATTAGCCCTTGCTTAGTATCTTGGTAGTATCTGGGTAGGCAGAGAAGCCTTTCTCCTTCCACAGAGCAGTGCTGATCCCAGGGATGCTGTGGGCAGCTCCCAGCTGTTTGCAACACTCAGTCCATGCTCCCAGGACTGGCACTGCCCAGGGAGAGCAGGGGCTGGGCTATACTGGAAAGGTGAATTTTTGTTCTCAGCGCAGAGGACAAAGGCACCTGTCAGGAAGGCAGCCCTTTCCACAGCTCCTGGTTCCCAGACAGGTGAGCAGGGGAATGCCAGCTCCATGGCACACCGCTAGGTGTCTAGTGCTGCCCCTCGCCCCCACAGAAGAGGCAGGATGAACACATGCCCAGATCACCCACATATCTTGGTTCTGGCACACAAAAGCTGCTCTAATCCATGACTGTGAGCAAAGCCAGGGTGAATCATTCCACTAAGAAGGTCAGGAGAAGCTGCACACAGACACAAATCTGACAGTGCACCAGCACATGCCGTGGCATAAGGATATAGAGTGGCACAAGGATATAGAGTGGCACAGCTCCGGGGGCTGTTCAGCTGCTTCCATTTATGCTGGACAGGAGCCAAAATGGCAATCAGGGCAACCTCTCAGAGCTTAGCATCTGCAGGGCTGGCCTAAGGAGTTTCAAGTTAAGAGGATCAACAAGACAAGAGCATAGCAGTGTGTGCACAGTGTAAAGATTACACTAGTTTTTTTGTGAAAGGAATAACTTTATTCCATTGACCAGGAATCCCAAGACTGTTCATCAAGACTGCCTATTTTTCCAGTGCCAAATGCATTAACCGGACAATATCTCCCCGAGTGCTCACAGCCAGGCTGTGGCTGCTTGTCACTGAACATTTTGTAAGCTGTATAAAAACATTTTTCATCCAAAAAGATTGGCAGTAAAAATTACAACATAGAAATGCATCACAATTTACACAAAAACTAGTTTTGTTGAACTCTATTTTTCCAAAAAATAATCTTCAGCAGGTTCAAATGACAGCAGCTGGAAACAAAAATAATTGACCAAGTATCATCTTATTGCAAATTATAACCATTGACTTTGTACAAGCGTGAGCAGAACCGTGAAAAAGTTTGTATTGGTTTCAAGTATACAGTGGTGATGAGCCATCCTGATGCAACTCTCATCAATGCTTCTCTGGGCCTGCAGTAATTGAGGATGCTGTTTCCATAGGAAATAACAGGAACCTGAAGTGACAAGTGGTGCCAACCCATAGGAACATTACCAGCTTCTTCCATCACCATCACCGCTGTGTACTGACTTTTTGGGATGCTTTATGACCCGTCAACAAAGTATCAGGGATGGGGGAAGGAAGAAGGGGTATCCGTAAGAAAATGAGATTTATTCAAAATTAATTTAAAACATCACATTTAAAATGTCCCAGCACATTATCAGAAACATTTATAAAATGCTAAACTCTGCCATGTGTCTATGAAGACATTGTTTGGAAAAGAAAGTGAGAGGTCCACTACAATGCCACCCTTACTTCTCTGTGCTCAATTCCCAACGACGGCTCCCTTAGCCCACAATAAGTTAGAAAGCTGTACAGCTGACACATCACGTCTGATGGTTACTTCCAACAGTGAAATGACTGGTTACTTTCAATATTAGTGCACAACAGTGAAAAGCTGTCTGCTGCTTCGTGTTTCGGCAACAGCATGTGAAAAGAAACAAAAAAAGGCACTTTTTGGCTGGTTGTGCCTTTAACTTGGCAAATTTATATATTCTGGAGGTACCCAGGCACTCCTTAAGCTGTCCCCCATTCCTGTGCATGTCTGTTTATATAATTTTTTTAAAGTAAGGCAGAATCCATAAATAAAGGCAAAAAGCAGTGCAGAAAATGTGACAAACGCAAAATGTACAAAAGATGAAGAGTTAGTTGGCACAGAAGAAGCTTGTATCCAGAGCCAGAAACCACTGAACTGCACTTGACATGGAAAACAAAGCTGTGCTCAAAGCATCCCAACTGGTTTCCAGTTGTTTATGAGCAAATTAAAAGAGCTGTGAGATTTTAAATGGTGCCTGGTCAAGTGAAAATACAAACAAAGCCAATTCATTCTTTCCCCATGTTAAAATTGCTATAAAATCTGCACAACAGTGTTCCCAGCTCACTCAAGGAATTATTTATCACATACAACCAATACCAACTTTCTCAGTAATTTCAAAGCATAAGCAAGTGATTGCAGATCCATGACTGAGACTACCTTTTATTCAATATGTCTCCAAAGGTTAAAGAAATTTAATGAGTAAAACTGCAACAGAATTCCTTCTTAAAGTGCTTTTTTTCTTTTTAAACTACTCATTAGCTTTTTTCTTTTCAATTCACCAACATCCTTGAACAATAAACACTTGCATACCTAGAGAACAAAGCTTTTCTTTTACTGCCCTTCCCAGTCGCCTGTAATTTTTGGAAGGGTAGCAGGAAAGATGACTCATTCCAGAGCTCCTGGACTAAACCATTCTGTAAGGAATCACTCTCCTTACTAAGCAGTCTTCCTGATCTTTCTCATCAAGAGCTTTACAAATGAGCAGGGAGACATATTAAATACAGAAGTCCTTATGTAAACCCATTCTTTAACTAATATTTTACAATGAAATGTAAGTCATCACACATCTTTACAGAAATTTGAATATTCCTATTCAATATTATCAGAAAGATTAAAAATTTGCCCTCCATACATAAGGGCAGTCTGTTTCTTTTTTTTTCCTGTATAAAAACCAAAAGAATTTTTTTTGCAGCATCACAGAAAAGCAACAGTTTTACATTCACTCATTTAATGTTCACATAAAAATTCAACCACTAGCGTTTGTGTATTTGATAAAATCTTCTTGACAAACTGTTTTCGGTGTTTGGACTGCCACAAGCTACTGCAGGTGAAGATGCAGTTTTCTAAAGCATTTACTGATCTGAAGCCTTTGTGGCTAGAAAATGCT